GTAATGAAAAATGAACTTGAAAAAATGATATAAATTGAACTTATTTGGTTCTTAATAAAGAGAAACAAAATAAAGTAAATGAAATTAAAGGAAGGAAAACAATTGTTACTAATAAAATGAAATAAAACAAAGTAGTTGAAGGTTACTTAGTTAAATAAATGTTTAATTTTTTTCTCTTTGACTTGGTTAATCTTTCTTAAAAGCAACTTTTGCTAATTTATTTTTGGTAGTCTTACTTTCATCTCTTTTCATAATAAGATTACAAACTTAAATAATAAGACTGGATACTTATAATGACAAATATCCTTTAACTTCTTTCTCTAAAGGAACTTAACACAAATGCATGTATTGACTTATTATACTAGTAAAAGGTTTTTAAGACAGCTTACCATTATGGTGATAATGTAGGGTATCATTCATCAACAAAATTCAGCACCATGTCTATTGGATGAAAATAAAAAAAAAAAAGAAGAAGAAATGGATGAAATTCCCTGTGGATTATTGAAACTCCAAGGTATGAATTGAACTTGGTTTTATTTTTTATTTTTATTTTTTTTTGGGTTGTGCTGGACAAATTTTTTATGGGCTTTTTTTTTTTCTTTCTTTCTTTTGGGTTGTACTAGACTTTTGGGTAGAGGAGAGTATGCTCTTTACATTGTCTCATTTCTATTTCTTAGAGATTTATGTATTCCATATGCTACAAAAAGGATCATCACATATTTTAATATGTATGTCTCAAGTTTAAAATCACCTCTTAATTTTTAAAAAATATTATGAGAAAGCATAGATTTAAAACAATGTTCTACATTCTACATAGAAATTACAATTTTACATCTTAAATACTAACACCACAAATGTCTTAATACTAAAAATTAAAAACTAAAAACTTAAATTCTCAATACTAAAAATTAAAATCGCAATATTAATAGTAATTTTGCATCTCAAATCCTAAATCCTAATTAATTTTAATGAAAATAGTTTTTGACAAAAAAAGAGAGGAAAATAAAAGTAGTGTTCTAGCCATTCTTATCTATAAAAAAAGGGAAGGTGATCTAGAATGCCTGGAGGCTTTCTGCACTGTTTCTTGTGTTTTTTTTTTTTGCCATCTCTTCAAGCCTCCACCTTCTCTGCTTTTTACTGAAAATAAAGGAAGCAGTGTCATTTTATTGCTAAAATAATGAAGAAAAATGAAAATGATTAATGTTTACTAGAATTAAACTTTATAGTCTAAATGGCTTGTTCAAGATAAGTAACTAACTATAGCATGAGAACATAATGAGCATTTACTTTATCTCCACCCTTTCTACCTTACCTCTTTCTGTCTTAGTCTTTCCACTTCTCTCCTATCAACAGTAGCCAAAAGAGAACACTATCATGAGGAACAATAGGCCCCAAGTGTTTGTACTATTTTTTCATAGAACAGTGATATGGTATGCAATGTAAAAATTAATATACTATTACAAAATCTATTCTGTAAAAAGCAGAGAGACACATGAATTTGAAACATCAGGCTAGCTGCTAGGCCATATCAAGCAAGATTTCATGTGGAATTCATGAAAATGAAAAACGATGCAAAAACAATCATATAATCATGAAAATTTGGTAGCAAATAACAAAGATAGTAAAGAGTAAATATCTGATCCAAGGAGTTAGCAACCAAACTTTTTGGATGCAAAGATTTCTCACCTATTAATTATTTATCAACAATCTGCCTAAAAATATTTGATGGGATCTGGACCTTATTATGTTTGATGCTGAAACGTTGTTACTATCATCAAAATCCATTAAAAGGTTCAACATATACTAATGGGATACTATTAAGTCCAAATCTAGGGAACGGTTAATAGTGTAATAGACAAACATGCATTCAAATGTTGATGACTTCTATTTAGGTACCAATTGTTCATTCCTACGTTACATTTATCAGTACGAATTTTGACACAAGTTGATACCAAAATATTAATTTTGACATGATTTAGAATTTCTCTATGATGAATTTGATTACCTAAAATATCACTTAAATTAATAAAATTAAAAATAAAAATAAATTAAAGGAATTCACTCTCAAAAACTCAAGTGGAGGAGAGCTAAAAATATTTCATAACTCGAACTTACTCAAACTTAATGTATATAACATAGGGAAAATGGCTATTTATAAGCTAAAGCTAACTAGAGATAATAAATGAAAAGTAAATGCAGTCATAAGTTAGCCACTTTTGCTGACTTGAGTGACCATTTTTGACAAAATTGCACCGGTCTATATTGTAGTTGGTGGCGCTGCAGAGTAGCTGACATTGCGCTGCATTCCTGGTGCAAAATCCATAATGAATGTTGAAAGTTCTGTAAAAAATAACTGCAAAATTGTCTTGATCTCAAAACTACTACCTGGTGTCTTATTTTGAGAGGCAATTCTCATCTCTATATATACTCTATCCCTTTTCAGGTATTTGCACCAAGCAAAGCCATCGGAAAAGGTTAAGAGAAGAAGTAGAATTATAAGATGAAGAACCAAGTTTATGGTTGTGCCATTTTCCTCCTCTGCCTCATTTTTCTCGGTACAACTTTGGGAGTTGATGTTGGAACTTGCAAGCCTAGTGGTACGCTCAGAGGCAAAAAGCCTCCACCGGGACAATGCAACACAAACAATGATTCTGATTGCTGTGTGGAGGGCAAGCTTTACCCTACATACAAGTGTTCACCCCCAGTTTCAAGCCACACAAAGGCAACCCTAACACTCAACTGCTTCGAGAAGGGCTGTGATGGTGGTGCACCATCCGAATGTGACAACCGGTATCACTCTGATGATGAACCAATAGTGGCACTCTCAACAGGATGGTATAACGAGGGCAGCAGGTGCCTGAAATACATTACCATCTATGGCAATGGAAGGAGTGTCAAGGCCAAGGTGGTTGATGAATGTGACTCTACAATGGGTTGTGATGCTGATCATGATTACCAGCCTCCTTGCGCTAACAACATTGTGGATGCCTCAAAAGCAGTCTGGAAGGCCTTGGGGGTGCCAAAAAGTGATTGGGGGGAAATGGATATATATTGGTCTGATGCTTGACTCTGATTATTATCTTCATGTTTATGTGTGTTTGGTGCTGGAATGCAGGTTCTTCAATGTCATTTTATACTGTATTAGTGTCGAACTGTTTCCCCCCACTCTACTATTATATGTTCCATGTATTTGATATATATATATATATATATATATACACGAAGCAATAAAATTCTCTATCTTTGTATTAAGTCATGTGTATCTGCCTAAGATTGTCCTTTGAAATTGTTTACTTGATTTTTAGTACTTACAAATTGTTAGTTATTATAGATTTTAATATTTCTTTATTTAAAAACATCTAAGTATTAGACATCACATTACCGCTATAAATTTATAATTTTATGTAACATTATAAGTGTACCATTTCTATTTTTATTTTGAAATTTATTACTTCCATTTTATTTTAGTCTTTAAAGTTTTATTGGGATAGTTTGGATGGTTAAAAGAATTTCAAGTTCAGACAAACATCTCGCAATCAACATTAGCCAAATTCTTCTTTTATTCCACTTTATTTTTATGTTATAATCATTAAATATTCTTGAGAGGATTAAAAAGAAAAAAAGAAAAAAATAAGATAATATAAAAATCTTCATAAATTAACTTATGTTGAAGATGAAATATTATTAAAGAAACTATGGGTTTCAATACATTGCTACACTTTTGGCCAAAAAAGGGAGAAAAAAGACATGCTGCACTAGTACTTTCTGGAAGAAAGAAAGCCAACCATTGTGCTCACCAAATATTCACGGAAAAAGCAAAAACGAAACTCTGACGATATACATAGGCCTTCAAGGGTAAGCACCTGATGCATGTGTTCTTTTTTCAGATTCTCCAACTAAAACTGCATTTGTCTTAGTCTTATGATTTCGGATCGGAACTTGGAAATGGGAACAGTGAACTTGTGAAATCTCCATTGGCTTCCTGCAAAATTATATGGTCCCGGAAATTCAGAAATGGTATGACCATGGGATTCCTATCTTTAGGCTAGACAATTAGTCTCTATTCGAATTAGCTGTTAGTTTCTAATGGAATACGTTTGGATTATAAATAACAACTATTAACTGTGAGATATTTATTATCAACTATCAACTCCATTTGAACAACTAATTCTAATTGTTTCAGTTTCCATGTTTCTGAATTTCAGCCCTATAATGGAAGGGCCAATATAGAAAATAGATTAGTGAAGTGGGGCTAATTGAGTTCTGTGTTATGTTGATCTCTTTGATCTTGAAAGCGTATTATGTCAAGTAAGGCTAAACCCCAACACTGAGAGAAAGGGCTGAAATTTTGTGTCTAATAGAACCTAATATATTAATAAAAATAAATTTTGAATGTTAAAAGTTTAGGTAGTAGTGTATACCTCTATTCTGGTGGAAGAAGTGCAATCTCGATTTCTTGCAGTGATTTTCCTTTAGTTTCCATTACATTCCTCCTCACAAAAATTGCTCCCAGCAAACAAAAGGTGGCAAAGATTGTGTTCAGAATTAATGGCCCAATTTGCTCAAGCAACCGCAAAAACAATAGACCAACAAAAAAATTTATTACCTGTTGGGAAGGGAAAAGATGGTCAGAAGAAGTAGACCAAATCAAGGAGAGAGTTGTATGGTAAAAATGTAGGAAAAAACGGAGAAACTGAAACCATCAATAGGGAAACCTCCAAATGAGTTATTAACTTAAGAGCATAATCATAAAAGCGACCTTCGTAAGTTTAGATTTATGTGAGAAATTAAAAGGAAAATGGAGGAAGGAACAAGAAGAGAAAATAGTTAAGAATGCTTATCTGCCAACAGAATATTATGATGAAAGTTATTTGGGAAAAAGAGGAAGTCAGAATTAAAGGAAATTACCCAATGCACAGCCATGCATGTTGCCATAGCCTTTGCCCTAACACGACCAGGTAATGTTTCTGATAGGAATAGCCCGGGGACTGGACCAGCACCCAAAGCAAAGGTCAAAACAAACCTGCATACCTTGTAAATTCATAAAATTAGGATTCCAAAGGTATATGTTTCCAGTGAAGAGTCTTCATGCAAGTAACCAGATTTAGAAGGGGCATTTTAGATACAACCAGCCTCGTTATACTCCGTCCATCCAATTAAAATAGATGTATATTCACTAATAGTTTTATGATATATCTAATGATTAAATTCATATTCATTGAAGAAGTTTATACTAGATATGCCTTATTCCTCTGAAGCCCCTTTGCGGAACACTTCTGTTACTTTATATCACCTCTCTCTAAAGCAGTCAAGTCTTAGAGATGCAATTGTTCGATTTCCTTTAAACCATGATGAATAAAGATAAACATTTTACATTATTATTATTATTATTATTATTTTTCACGCCCCATCAAAAGAAAAGTGGTTTCGAGGATTATCATCTCACAACAGCATGCCTCCAACAGAGAGATACACTGCTGCTCCTGCACTTGAGGCAAAAGAACTAGCTGCTGTTGCTTGAAGAGTCATTGCCACAGCCTGAAGAAACAATACAGATAAGCACAAAATCAAAAAATTTTCAGAATTAGATTCTATAAAAGGGAAATTTGAGCAAATCAGATAAACAGTGGATATACAGTGTAGTTCAAACAGTTGTGGACCCTATTAGGAATCTCATATTCTAAGACTAGTTCCATACTTTCTGCTATTTGTAGCTTTTTGCAGTTAATTATCATGACTGCGTAAATCTTATTTAGAGTATCAAGTGAAACTGCATCAAAATAATTTGGTGTTACTGCAAAACCATCAAAAAGGAGGTCAGCAGAAGGTTCAATCCCTATATCATTTTATGGTGGTTGCTTCTATTTATTTATTCAAATTCCAATGAGTAGTGAGTGGCTTGCAAAAAGCTGGTATTTTGATCCACAAAATGCCAGATAAACTGGATGGTAGTTATTTGAACTACATACACAGCCACAGAAAAGCATAATGCTTTGTGATACAGTATTTAGCTCCTTATATGTTGATAGCACATCATAAATACCAAAACATCCGTGCAAAAGATGGATTCCTTTTCTTCTTTACCATGCCTGAAAAACTTCCAATAAGTAGCACTTTCCTTCCAAGTCTATCAATCAAAAGCATTGCAGTAATAGATCCTGAAGAAGTATAAACAATACCATTAGAAGAAACAACCAACCGTGACATACAAGAAGAATATTTTGAGCATTTAACCATCTCTACCTAACAAATTTGCAATTCCAACACATATGTTTGCAGAGTCTGAAGGTACTCCAGCATTCTTGAAGACAGTTGATGAGAAATAAAATACAGTATTTATGCCTGAGAGCTGTTGTAAAGCAAAAAGGGTAGACCCAATGAAAACCACTGCAAACAGAGAAATTAAAAGGTAAACATTTAGAAGGAAATATATAGAGACCATGTCTTAAAATGCTACTAGAAACTTTTGACATCTTCACTTTTAAAATGGCGGCCATAAAGCAACTCCGAGAACTTCACCGAATCTGGCTCATCCTCTCTGTCTGACTTTGACAATTCTGCTATTGCAGATTTGACATATGGTCCTCCTAAAAGTTTCTCAAATTCAGCTTCAGCTTCAGTGCCCCTTCCTCTCTGAAGCAAATCCACGAGAGGGGAGAAAAAAAGGAACAATTATAAGAGTCTATTTGGACAAATAATCTTCCAAAAAAACGTTGGTTATGCAAACAACAGTCAAACAGATAATCATTAAACTACTAGGCATCAAAATCAGTAATAATGATTCGTACTCCCTAAAATGGATAAAGGATCATTAAAAACTACTGGAAGATGAATATAATAACAAAGAAGTGCTCAATAGTCAAGAAAAAGGATACAAGAAAGAAACCATGGGAAGGACCTTTTTTTGTCCAACCATGAGAAAAAGGACTTTTATTCCTCAATTAGTTTAAGAACAATAAAAGAGACAAAAGAAATAAGAGATACTTTATAATGTGATCATAACAGTTGAATCCACTCCTCAGTGATCTTTACAGATTAATAGATCATATTTCCTCAAAGAAAATTTACTATTTGTTAAAAACATTGCAACAAATCAGCTATGGAAATCTTTATATCATGACACTGGGGCACTGCAGTTGGTGGAGCTTCTAAGTTATATTAATAACCGTTTCCATCTTTAATCAAAGAGCAGAAAGTCAATTTCTATTCAGCTGCATACATTCCCACAAAGAAAATCAACTTTATCTCTGCTTTACATTCAACACTGGTTATGAATCGGACTTCACCTGGTTCTAAGTTTTGTTTATTATTATTATTATTATTACTTAGTAGGGCAATTTTAGGTAAGCACGCCCGATGCATTCAAGGAAATTAATTTCCTAGGGTGTTGGTCCAAGACTTAAGCTTAGCTTGACTTATAAGACGACACTTGCTTACCAGTGGATCTAACCCTTGGGTTTCTAACTTGTTTTTATTGAGTAATAACAATGTTTATTTCATGCAGTAACAGCATATGTCAGATACATCCAAATCCTAAACCGTTTGACATTCCAAACAATTTAATGCCAATTAAATTCTGAAAAGGAATTTTATGAACTGTCTAGGGTAACTTCATGATGAATTAAGATGTAGATCTGGATTCAAATTTCAAAGGCAAATTATGAAGTTAATTGATCCCACATATGTAATGGCCGAAAATATGAAATCATTATTAATATAAAGAAGTGCAAAAGACCTTTAAGAGCCAATGAGGACTCTCTGCACAAAACTCCATAAAAAGAGCTAGAATTGCAGCAGGAACAACAGATACCCAAAAACAAATTCGCCACCTGAGCACACAAAAAGTCATTAGCATATTTTGATTTTTTGACCAGGAAATTGTGCTTCAAATAACAATTAACAGGTAAAAGAACATTTTAATTTTTTATCAGCCAAAGAAAATTTTAATTGGTATTTCTATTGCTTCATTTTATTATTCTTACCAACCAACAATTTCCTTAGCTGGAAGTCCAATAAACAGAGATCCTAAGAGTCCAAGACATGTTGCAATCTGAGTACAACTGCCATAAGTACCTCTTACAAAAGCTGGTGCAACCTGCTCATGGATGAAGTATGATCAAACTCTCATGTAGCTGGAACCAGAAAAGAAAAGAAACAAGAAAATTGCTGTAGACTGGGAATACGAAAGGTTATAAAACTTTGATAGAAAGCTTGTGTTTCTTACCTCTGTCACATAAAGAGTTGCTACAGGTGGACCAATTCCCATTGCAGTTCCAACAAATAATCTTCCTAGAAGCATACCCCTCAGGTTTTTGGTTGTTGCACTGCATGTTATGTTTGTTAACTATAAAAAGGAGTATTTAGAGCCAGGAAACTTTCATATAAACAAATGGATTTATCTAACTTGTGCCCTTAATACATCTTTTTGATATTAATTAGTACAGAAAATAACATAAGCTGACATTAATTTTATCAGCAATGCTACATGTATCATTTTAATTGGATGGTTGATTAAATAAATGTCAAGTTTTATTTTTTTCAATTAAATTTAGAAAACTGCAAGGAAGATACAATAGAGATTCATAATTTTGTGCTTTCTCTCTTCTCTGTACCATACAAATTTGGTTTCCACCTTTACAACCAAGGGAAGTTGGACTCATGGACAGAAATATGGACCCTAATTAAAACCAAATGACTGCTGGAACCAAGATAAAGTAAATATCTCGCAGGATGGATAATGGTTGAATACCATGAACAGACTTTTGGAGGAATAAGAAAACAACAAACCTCATCAGAATTACTCATTTATTGAAAATAGCATAAATGCACCTTCACAAGAAAATATACTTCTTTATATTAATAACGACTTCATATTTTCTGCCATTACAAGAAATAAATTGAGCATACATACAACAGTAAAGGGCTGGCGAGTGATGGAAACAAAGGCAGATGACAAAATAATATTGAAGTTACCTCATTGAAGACCCAATTATCATTGGTAAAGCACATAGCTGAAATGCCCTGCGCCGGCCAACCCCATCTGCTATTGAACCACTAAATAGAGATCCAATAAAGGCACCCCCTAAACATGTACTAACCACAAGACCTTCAATAACATAAAACAAAATATTTGATTAACTCCACAAGACCTAAAAAAAAAAAAAAAAAAAAAAAAAAGATAACAGGATAAGTACCTTCAGCCAAGGAATTCCCATGAAAACCAAGGTCAATAGAAATGCTTTCAAGTGTTTCATTGACTACCCTGTATCAGTATGAATACTGAATTCCCTGAATTTCAGATACAAAAATATGAAGAAAAAACTGAAAAAAATTGAGTTTCAGAGGGACACACCCAAGGTGGTAGCCATATAGGAATGAAGATACAGTTGCCACAAGTATATGTGGGAAGGAACGCTTCCAATTGGGGTTTCCAATGTCTTTGCCCACGCCATTCAGCCAACGTACTGTCACCCAGCAAACAATCAGCCCGTTCCCCTTTTTTTTTCAAATAAATGAAGCAAAGCAATCTAAGATACCTGAACCTTCTTCTCTATCATAAACATTGATATGTTCTCTGGAGCCACCGCCACGCTTGTGCATCAACCCATCCACATACCGCCCACGCATTGCCACGTTATAACCTCCGTCCCGAGAAGTCACCACAAAATTCTCAGCAGTAAACTACCCCAAACATAAATCAATCAACCACTATCTAGTAATTCATAATGTACACAAAAATCAAGAAATATAAATATATCCGCAGAGAAATCATCCGATTTTAGATCTGGAAGTTTTAAATGAGGAAAAGAAAATAAAAATTTCCCGTGAACAGCAGAAGTGAGCTTCAACGAGGACACGGAAGAAAGTAGTTCGCCATGGACAACTGAATTGAGCTCTAAAACGGAGCCGTTTTTCACGTTAAAACTCGAAACCGTAACTCACCATTTTTTTTTCTTATAATCCAAACAGCATTGCTCGAAATCAACAGAATTGTAAACTACGATTCTTCAAAGAAAAAAAACTGTTCGTACGGATCTATATAGGGCAATGCAGAAGAAGAGAGATGAGGATTGAGTGTTACCTATGTGAGAGGTGAGGCATAAGCTTTGAAATGTGGAGAAGGAGAAAAGGATCTGATCGGAACGGGAGGAGGGGGAAGACAGGGACAGGTGCGGAGAGATGATTTTCACGCCGAAGGAAAGTGTCGGTATCAGCTTTCAACTGAAGAGAGCGAAATATATGTGGTGATTTCGAAACCGTTTCTTGGAAGAAACAAGAGCAGAGGCAGAAAAATGGTGATACTGCCATGGCGGTTGATGGAAGCTAGGAGACGAACACGTGTGCATATTTCCGGGGAGGTGGGATCAGCCGATCAGACCATCTTCCCTCGCAATTTTCATATTACGTAATAACACGTGTCGAGAAAATGATTAATTTTGTAATTATTTTATTAAAAAGGCAGAAGGTGCAATTCAGCCCCTGTACCTGCAATGTTGTGGCAATTCAGCCCCTGTACAAGAAACACTGGCAAATCAGCCCTTCTACTACATGAAATCCGCAAATCACCCCTTCTGTTAAGGATGACGTTAGGAAACATCATTTTTCCGTTTCATTTTTGTGGCCCGTTAGCAAAAGACGATGATTGGACAATGACATGGCATTGATTAAAAAAAAAAAAACTACCTGACTTGGGAAAAAATTTTTTTTTGAGATTTTTCTTTTTACTCTTAAATATTTAAACATAAGGATTTTTTAACTTGTACCCTTAACTTCATTTATTATAGTATTTGT